GTTCTGGTGAAATCCGTTTCGCGCGTCAAACTGAGTTTCAGACGTTAAACTGGTTTAAGATCGCTTGATGAAAATGGGCCTAAATCTGCACTTCCTTACATCATAAACCATACATATTCATAGCATTGAAAATAAGTGCAAGCAAAAGTTAAAGGAGGTAAAGTTGCTGCTGTTGAACTACTTTCATTTAATTTTTTTATCTTTTATTTATCTATTCTCCTCTATGAATTAATGTACCTTTTTGAAAATTCATTAGGTTATTCAATTTTTATAGTTTTTTTAACGTTTGAACATTTTTAAAATAACAGCAGATTTATAATCAAAGTGTATTTATTGAAGCAACCACGTTGGAAAATACTTTTATAAAAATTAAAGTTTCAGTCATTAAGTTTAAGATTAATAGCTCTAAACTCTTAGAGATTTGAGTATGCATTTTATAAAAAAACACAAATTAAAACAAATATTTTGAGAGCAAGTAAAATAATTGTGTGCACAAGTTAAGGGAGGCAACAATGTTGCTGTTGAAATACTTTGGTTAATTTTTTTTTATTCTAAGAAATAGGTTCTCACTCTGAACATTAATCGACGATATACAAGAATTCAAATAGTTATTACTTTTTAAAAAAAATTGTACTTTTGAACACTTTTAAAATAACAGCAGATTTGTGATAAAAGCAACCACGCTAAAAAAATTTTTTTAAACAACAAAGTTGAGGGAAATGATAGTGTTTTAACAGTTAATTATGTTTTAGATTTCATTTTTGTATTTCGTAATAAACGAGTTTGTTAAAATGCTTCAGGAAGTTGAAATTATTTAAATAATACTGTTATAACTTCCACCAAATTCAGTGCATATAATTTAGTAATTTTGAAGATATTTTAAAACGGTTTTGTATAAATTTGATTGCGAATGAGCAGAAAAATGATTTCTGCTAACCGTATTTTAGGATAGGATAAGAACAGTACTTCAAACTTTTTGATCGATATGCTATTTATGACTTATATTTAAAAAAAATGCAGAATCAAGCACAAGATGTTGAAAAAGCTTACTTATAAACTTATTATGGCAAAAATAAATGTTCCTACTTGATTTCATATTCATTGACCGAACTTGAAAAATAAGGCAAATATACTTTTGGTATACAAATTTTACTTGAAAAACGTTAATTGTCCTAACAATTTAGATCTATTTATACGAATGAATTTCGTTATTATCATTCTAAAGCACTAAATTATCGTTAGTATTGTTAGAGTTTCAAATCAACGTTGATTTGAACTGGTTTAATATAATAAATAAAGCTAAATTTGATAAAAAACGTACATTCTAATTCGGTTGAATCTCGGCAATGTAAATCTTTTAATTCTCTGATTTCCAAACAAATCTTTTACTTGCTCTGATTTTTATAATTTCACTTGCTTTTCGTATAGGAAATCATCACCATTAAATTGTTGAACATTTTTTTTCCGTAATTATTAGTTCCGTAATTGTTCTTCTGATCTTCTCAATACTACAACGATGCGTATTCCAAAGCGCAATATCGAAAGACAAATTAAAAATCTGCACTAAACAAATTGGGCGTTAGAAGTATAATTTATGTTTAAAATTGCACGCCATGTATACTTCTGCTTTCAACATATGTTCAAGATTTGCGGCGACAGAAAATAATTGCCAGCCATCAGAAATAATTCTCGGAAGATTAAGCAATTCCATGTGACACTTAATTTGCGGAAGCTTTTCGTATTTGTTAGAGTGTTATTTTACATAACAAAGTAAAATTCCAAAGCGCTTACCAGGGCGTCCACCACGTCTGTTCTCCTCTTCTTCGAGTAAGCGTAAAACAGCAGAATTTTGCAGGTTGGCTGGCTTTCCTGTCGAGGAATTGTGGAAATCAATTCTGCAACAAACATGCTTGTTAGATTAAAATAACACACATTTTACAATTGATTATTACAAGACACATTAGTGTTTGTACTTTCAGCTGAAGAAGAAAATTAAGCTGCATCTATAAAGTTAAAACTTCTTGATTGCCTTCGTTATAAGAGTTTGTAAGAGTTTTAATTAATTTTTGTATACTGCTGATATCTAAAACATTACTACACTTAAAAGTATATAAGTTGTACACCTAAAAAGTACTTAGTGACTGAGGACATTAATCACTTTGAACAATATAAAATAAAGAATAAATAAATTACCTTTCAACTGCGGGTCCCATGTTGAATTAAAAACTATATCACAGACAATGGAAATTAATTAACAGGAAATTCAACTATAAAGTCAAATAAATAACTCTGTGTAGAGTTTCGGTTCAGCAGGATATCGTATAAACTCTTAATACTATATCTTTCGTTGTCGGACGATCATTAAAATCGGTTTGAAAATGTCTGTAAATATCCAAGTGGACTAACTGATCACATGATTCGGAAAAGTAAGCAGATTTTCATCGAGCGAGTTATTTTCGAGGTACTTATGGTGAATCACGACCACGAAAATAATTTGTAGTGTCAATCGGGTATTGAAAACAAAAAAAACATTGTGTTTGGAAAAAGGTTTTCCTAGAAATTGAACGCTTTGTCTGGATCTAAAATACAGCACGGTTTCCAATAGGTGCCAAGGAAAATATTATTTGTACCATGTACTACATGTTTGCTTTGTTTTGGAAATTTTTAAATTTTCGATTTTTCAAAAATTTCGTCAGTTTTGAGTTTGTTTACTCAAATTTAAACTGCTTCAATTTAACACATTACCATTTCTTCAATAACAAATAAGTTATCGACAGCTACCGACCTTAAGATCTGTATAAAAGGTTTTAATTCGATTTTTAAAATATTTTACTTTACATTCCTTGGTTTCCTGTAATGCCACTAAATTGTACTTAATGAATCTATTACGTGTCTCTGGTTTTCCGCTTCAATTGGCTTACTTTTTGTATTATCAAACATCTTAAGTCTCAGACATTTTATATTTTAAATTATAGTTTTATTGTTTAAAAGTCATGAAAACGTAGTCTTTCTTTTTTAGCTTACTACAAAAGCGTAATTTTTTCAGACTAAATCATAAAATGTATCATTTGCATTCAAATTGAATTAAATATTTGAGGCTGTTTCAGCTTTTTCCACAATTTTGTTTTATGATTGATCTCAAATTTAAGAAAAGAAATAAAGTAACTAAACTTCGTTTCAATAATACGAAAAACTTTAATTTTAATAACCTTATTTATTGTTAAACATAGTTTTCCGCATTGTGGAATAAGACAAAATGATTGCAATACTAATATCCTGTTAATTTTGTGTTTAGTTAATACACTTCTAATAAGACTTAAAATTGTATTTCCTAAAAATTGAAAAAATGGAAGATATGAAGACCCAGATAAAACGAACATAAAGAGTACCATAAAAGTCAATTCAAGAATTCAAAATTAAGAAACAGAATGAAACAAACTTGGGAAATAAAACAATGCTCAAAACTTGAGTAGTAAGAAACTGATCAGAAAGCAATATTAAAGACATTTAAAAGGCAAATTACGGCTCAAAGTTATGCAAAAAGTAATAACTAGAGCATCAATAATAAAGTGAAGATCAATATTAAAAAAGTATCGCAATCGTTCGAAAGCAGCTTTAAGAAAAGATATCAGAAAATAAAACTGGAAAATATATGCAACATAAAAAAGAAAATGACAAACTCAAGGGAAAACAGGTTGTTTTTTATATTTATATTTATGTTTTTGTATATTGGCTAAACATTAAAGTACCAAAATGAACGATTATTGGGTAATAAAAAATAATTCAATGCAAAATTGCACGTTTATAGGTTTGCACAATTATGACCTTTCCAGCGAGCATAAAAACTGATATTTGAAAGCAATTAATAATTGTACTTATAAATTAAAGCTATTCAATAATCATCAGATATTCACACATAACTTGGGAATTTTTAATCGCCTCGCAATAATTCGAATGTTTTTTCTCAGACCATTAATCATTTTGTAATTTGAGCGTCTCCTCTCCAAATTTTCGTTTACATTTGAGTTCTAAAAATACTTTTTCGAGTCGAAAATAGGTTCAGATCTAAATTCGAGTCTTAGAAATACTTAACTAGTCAGAGACGGATTTCACCATGCTGTCTAGTAGCGAACAGTTATACGTTGTAATATGTGAAAAAAGAATTGTAAAATTGATATTTTTTTCTTTATCAGACATCAAATTATGTGTTTCTTTTAACTAAATCGGCTTAGCAAAAAACACCTGCAAATTATGCCTGCACCTCGCACAGGCATGGGTTTGCAAAGTTGCAAACTTTTGAAAGGTTCATAATTTCATAAAATAAGTAAAAAATTAGAAATGTTTGTTGCACATTGGGTCCAAGAGGGCGGGAGTTAATCGTAAAGTAATCTGAAACCTGCAAGAATTGATCTGAATCTTTATAAAATTCTTCCTATATAATAACTTTTTAGCATAGAAAAAATTTGCTATAAATTTTGGGTGTAAACATTTATTCTGAATCTTGTTCGTCGATTAACGAGCTGAGCCAATTCTGTCCACAGCATCTTATGTAGTCTAGAACTTTGTTGAAACTGTAACTCGATGTAAATTTCGTAAACAAAATATTAAACATGAAATGTCTGTTGTTAACAGTCAATATCAAGGATATAAGTCTGTCACAAATAAATTTCCCGTATAAATCATAACAATTCAATTCCATTACGGAGTGGACATGGAAAATGTAGTTTGCGTAGTTTGGAATTGTTTCAATAATCCCCAAGCAATTTTTTCTATGAGGCAAAAATGCAACACGTGATCGCAATAGTTTTGTACATTGTATGTGTTATTTTTAGGCGTAAAAATGTAGTTTTTATGAGCAAAATTTATTTGTGTTTTGCAATATGCTTAACTTGGAAATTCTATTGATGATAGTTAGTCGTCTATGATTAGTTAATCGAAAAAATATTAACAATATGCGGTCTACGAACTGAATTGAGAACTACGATAACAAATAGCAATAAACAAAAAAAATTTTTTATAAAGTAGTAAAATTTTAAACGGATTAAAGTGACTTTAAGTATTGAGATGAATTAGTGTATTGTACATATTTGAATAAGATCAGAACATTTTCGAAATAAACATGTCGAATAGTTCAGAGAAAATACGATAAATTATTACAATTCTTACAAAATACGATTTAAATTTGATTTTAGTGTTTAGGTTAATTGTCACATCTTACTTAGATTCGTATAAGTTCGTATGATTCGTATTGCAATTTAATTGTTCGAAAACTTAAGCAATTTTTCGGTACCATTTTTATTAATAGCGACCGTTGAATACGAGAGTCTTAAATACAGATTTGAAAAAAATTAAAAATAGAGTAAACAGACTCTAAATTTCAATACAAGTTTTGCAGACATAACGTTTGAAAAACCAGAGATTTACTACCGTAGATTATAGAAATTCGAAAATTAATGGAAATACTTTCTCAAGACCTATTGATTTCCAAACTTTTCCAAATATATTTTGATTGTTTTCCTGTCGGTTGTTTAACGCCGTATTTTTAATCGCGTTCAAGTGAATATGAGGAATGAATTTCAAAATAAATTAAAGTGTTTTTAAAATTGCTTGACCTCTCACAAGATTGTCTTACAAACATAAGTTCCTTAATACACGCCTAATTTGGGGTATTTGTGTAATTCATTAATTAAAATTTAAACTGATTCTATGTATTTAAGTTCGGTTTAATGTTATCCTACTATGCTCATCATTAAAATTAACGGCAACATAAGGAGACAACACAGGATAACAAAAATTTAAGTGCCGAAAGAAATTGAGGCGCGTCCTGAAGAGTAGCTATTTTGTAAAGCGCAACTATTCATAAAAATTCGACTTAAATGACCATTTAAAAAATATGTTTTTGCCTGTTCAAAAAAATTCAGTATTTTTGCTGTGTCAAATTATTAAGCAGGAACATTCCTACAACAACTACAAGGGACATTGTTACAGTATCCGAACGATAAATTTATATATTGAAATTACATGTTTTACTAAATACTAGGAAGAATTGGACCGCATTAATAAAAAAAAATATATTTTAAAAACATTTCACTTTCTGCATAAATAAAAAGTAAGCTTAGAGAACATCTCTCATTCTTTAGTTAAAAAAAGGATTATTTATATCTAGTTAAAAATATCCAAATAAATTTAACTTACTAAAAGAAAGACTTTCGAAAATATTTCAAGGTAATATTTAATAAACAAGATTTGCATGTTTTTTATAAAATATTGAATAGACAAAAAAAGGCAAATTTTTACAAAATGTAAATTTTCTCTATCAAAGTAAAAACTATTTACTTCAAGCTTATTTTTCAGTAAAAACACTTCATAACCCTGATTTATTTTACACTCTTATTGCTTTACAAGGCCACAAGTTACAAAATTTGACAAAAATAATTTTAGTTAAATTAAAAAACACCCATTATATTCATCTATATTAATATATAAAATTTTACAGCAATTTTTACTTCCGTTTACATCTTTGTGCGACATTTTTACAACTGAAAAGGCTTTTATTTAATAAGCAAGACACACCTGAGAGTCCACAAATAAAATCTCTAGCGCCCTCTGAAAACGATGCACTCTTTTAAGTGGATACGCGAGTAGTTTAAGAACTAAATTAATGCTTGTATTTTTATTGTATTTTTTACTTTTATGTTTTTATTCTTACCCTATAGCTCCATTAGCCAGAATCTGTTGTTCCCGTTGCAACACTTCTCTAACATTCTGTTCCGAGTACAGACCGATGGGTGTGTTGAACTGTTTGTTCACCAGCCTTGGTTGGGTCGTCATGTTTTACGTCTATGTCGTTTCTAAACTACCTAAAAATTTCCAACTGTAAGCTGACATAAAATATACAAGCAACATCAATTGCAACAGTTCGAAACGCTTAAGAGCTTACAGCTGCTCCCGTTCAAGCATTTCACTGTACATTTTCATTATCTGTGAGGTAAACAGGAGTCAAATACTGTAAATACTGGCAAATTGCATATCATCATAAATGTCAGTTAGAAGCTATCTGTGATAGAGTTTGATAAATAAGCATGTTCAAAGTTCCTGTTTTTGTGTTGATCTCATGAAAATTGGAACGAAAGTTTTCCAAATGAAAATCCAGACGGTTTGTTGGTTTTTTGAAAACTAGCTCAAGCCAACAATGGAAAGGAAACAAAAATTTGTATTTTTTTAATGTTTTCTTGTTGTAGACTAGATCTAATTCACAACCTGCGGCCTACAGATGCAGTTTCTTTTTGTTAAGTTTCATTGGACAAAAGTAAACATTAAATCCTACAAGTCTATTTTAATAATACAATAAAGTAGGTGGTCGTCAGAGACACATATTTTTAGAATGGACTGCGTGCGTAAATTCCATAGAGATTCAGGTGCTTTGTATATTCAAAGAATTTGACGCTAGGTATTAAAAGGTGTGCCAAACTTTTAATAAGATATTTTGTTAACAAATCCCTGCTTTGCACCACCAATTCGTAATAGCCAATTTATTATTAAAGTGGACATTTGGCTAAACTACACAGCGTGTTTGGAAATAACAAAGTTTGGTCATAGATTCTCAAAAATAAGTTTGGGACCAGAGTTTTTTAGCAATAAGGTTTAGATTGTTTTCTTTCAATTTGCCCACAAAGGTTCAATAGACAAATTTAATGGAAGAAAATTGAACTCTTTAACCTGCCGGTTGTCTGTTTTACTAATTTCCACATGTATTATGTCATATTATACAATTTTCTTAATTTCCAAGTTTGTAAATTGAATAAACTTCAAAAATAAACGGTAAATGATTTATTAATAGCATAACATTTTTTGTAGCCAAGAGCAAAAAGGCGCTTAAGAAAAAGAGTCGTAAAACGGACCGCCGCACAAGTTTTCCGAAACTTTATTTTCACTAAGTTTTCTGATTTGAAACTTCGTACTAATCTCGTCAGTTCTTGATAAAAAGAATGAAAACCTTAAAATTGTCCGAAAAAGTTAACGCTATATTTATTTAACGTTGATATTTTCCAGAAAAAAAAGTACACGCCAGTGGTTTTTTGCCTAACAAAAAATATTTTTTAATTGTGCGTGTATTTTTGCGAACAAAAACGGTGTTCAGTACTTTTTACTGAAATTCATAATTTCTTTATTAATAAATAAAAACCGTTGGATCCTTCGAGAAAATTAACGATGTATTTATCATTGCTAATTAAAAAAACAATGCACGCTAATGGTTTTTCTGTGAGAAAACATTAATTTAAAGTTACGCAACTTTAAACTGCGTTTAAAATGCGAACAAAAAAGCACTTTTGAATTTTTTTTGCTCAAATGCACAGTGTTTGATTCAAAAGTAAAACCCATTATATTGTCCTAGAATATACACTTGACCACTCGAAAACTACATCGGTTCAAATTTAATTTTTTGTTGCGAACGGAGCATTTCACACAAAAAATGTAATACTTGCTCTATTCCTAAGGAATCATAAAATTGTAAACTAATTTTTAGTTTAGCAAAAATCAGGCCTTTTACTCGAAAAATCTCGAAACGGATTTCCACTTACAGTTGGACAAATAATGAGGATTGTGGAGAAAAAAGTAATGATTTTCGTGCTGCAGAATTCTGAGAATCTAAGAAAAAGCTATTCTTCTAATAAGAGTCTAAAGAAGCTGGCGCTAAATTTTGTACCATTTATTCCAAGGACTTATGTATTTATTTATTAGTTAATAAAACTCACACAATTAATTTATATTCAAAGTAGATGGGCAGAATCGAAGTAACAATTAGAAGCATTGTGTTTTCAGTAAATATGAATTTTTTTCCACAAGGTGGTCAGTTTCAAATAATCTCTATTTAATAATGAAAATACAGAGCATTGCTGACTAATAATACTCGATTGCGCAGAAAACACAATGTGATATAATACACATTGGACACTATTAATACATTTGAAATAACTTAGAAAAAAAGCAAAGCCTTTCCAAAATAAACTTGATGTTTCTAAGTATAACGCGACATCTGTTTTATTTTTCTTGGCAAAAACCTTTCATAAATCGTTTGATTGGCGATTTTCCTATTTAATCAAAAATTAATATTCTCGTAAAGTAAGTTAACTCGTAAACGATTGCAAAATCGAGAATTGATTAAAAATACAATTATTTAAAGCAATTTACTTCATAACTATTTTAAAATGTTTAGAACCAGGTATATAATATGTGTTTGCTTCCAGTTGGCATTGATTCAATGGAAAAAATCTCAATGCAGGCAAATGTTTTGAATTTTGACGTATTTAGTTCTCGTTTAATTTGTATAACAATTCAAAATTTTGAGCGAACTGAAGAAAGATGAAGAAAGGCGGTTTAAGGGAAAATATTAGCTCTTATTAGCTATTAAAAAGAAAAATATTTAGCTCTTTATTTATGAATTATTGATAAGAAAAATCTAAATCCGACTTAAATAATAAACTAGAATAGTTGAAGCGATAATCAAAACCTTAGATGGAAATTTCAATTTAACACAGAAAACAATTTTTGCTAGGTCCTTAGTATTTAACGATAATCATATTATCAGGTCCAAGAGTATTTGGCTCCTGGCTAGTTTTGACAAACTTAAATATGCTGTTATTTCGGTAGCCACAACTGTTTCAATGATTTTGAAATAAACAGCGCTTTGATTTATTATCACCATTTGATGTAATAGATTTTAAATATGAACGATATTACATTGTTGCTTCGCTTCGGTTTCGAAAATATTATTTGAAAGTAAATAACAAGCACTTTGACAATTTCTTCCATTCGCAATGCTTAATAAGTAATCAATAGAAGATAAATTTCTCATGTTGGAAACTTTATTATCGGATTATTAAATTGAAGCTAATTTCCTTTGTTGACTTGTTTACTTAATTCTTGTAATTCATTCCTTTGGATCTCTATTTCACCAGTCTATAACTATGTATTGTTTTATTTTGCTTGCTTTAAAGTTTACGATAGGAAAATGTTGAATAAAGAGTTGTTTCACGTTTAGCTCGAAATCATTCTGGGTAGTCAAGAACACTTAGTAGAAATATTTTTTAATAAAAGCAGAACTTACTGTACTCTCTAAGTAACAAAACAATTTTAAATAGAAATAGGTTTAGTCGTTGAAATTGTGTGCAATATTTAAAAAAAATAATAAATACATTCTATGCAAACAAGCAAATTTGAAATATAATTTTATAGTAATACGCAAATGAATATTTTTTTATTATCCAATTTAAAAAATATTTTTGAGAAAAAATATCTTTGGCAATAAAATCCTAGTTAGTTTAGCAGCATGTCTGATACACTTTTAATAAAATAATTGCTAAAATGTGCCAAACTAATGCTGCTAACCCTTATAACATTTATTAGCTAAATTTAAATTTAAAGTCGATTTTGGCCTGCAATACCGCAAAATCGATATAACATGGAATTTGTGCTTAAAGGATCCTCAAACTAGAGGTTCACTTAAGATATGTTGTAAGCTTGTTAATACCAAGAAGACAAATATTTGCATGTGTATGTAAGCATTTTTAATTTTTATATTTCGGTTCCCAAAAAAAATCTTTTTATGAAAATGTCTATTGAAAGAAATATATGATCAAAGCGCGGACCAACAGCGTTTAAGCAAAAAAATTGGCTTCAGAATTAAGCATGCGAAAAATATTGAAGTCTGTTACTCAAAAAAGTACTATGCGCGCGCCACCTATTCCTCATAAAAATGTACCACTTTTAGAAAAAAGCAACTAATTTTTTTTCGGAAAAAATTTACCTGTAAATTCGACGCCGCTTTTCGCGCGATCGCTGGGTTATACTGAGACTTTAAGCTCGATTGCTGCGCTACGTAAAGCGTCGCGCCGTAGGCGTCGTTTATTTTCATATTCACAGTTTTGATGAAATAATACCACCTAGCTAAAATATTTGGGTATGATTATTTTCCTAAATTTTCGATTTAATTCGTCTGGTCACAATTTATTGTTGGAGTTTTTGTGTACAATGGGTTTTATTTTGCACTTGTTTCTCAGTTACTTAAACGATAACAATTTTTTTGGTGGCATTCTAATCTAATATTAATTCAATTAGCAGACGCTGCGGTGCAAAAGCCTAACAATTTTTAAAGGTTTTAGCGAACAGCTTTTGAGTGTCACTAAAAGAAAATTGATGAATATTCCTTCTTTATTAACTGAGTTATTAATTAATTAAGTTTCTGGAAACTTTATTGGGCAAATTTTTAGTCATGTTTAATATCACCTCATAAATTCAGCAAAAACTGTTTATTTGTGTAAATATGAAGAAATATATTGCGCAAGCTTAAGACATTAAGACATAATATTAATCGTGCTAAACAATACAGTTTATATGAAACAATACCGGTTGAATGTTTGATCTAAAACCCGCAAAATCTTTATTAATAACTTTCTTAGTTTATCTCACACTTTTCATAGGATTGTTTTCTACATTTTAAACAATCAAACGGAAATCTCTAACCGCTGAAATTTAATTAAAACTCAACCAGTAAAAATGTTTAATAAAAAATCTGCTCTTATTAGAAAGCATTTTTATTATATATATAAGACAGTTTTATCACAGAAAATAGTCCTACTAGTTACAACATTCGCACGTTCTAAAACACAAGATCGCTTTTGAAACTGAGTATTTTAGGAATTTCAGTTGCATTCTGCCATAGGAATTGCAAAATAGGCTTAACTTAAATACCAACTCTTGAAACTAACATGTATACAACGAAAAAATTGTTGTCATCAGATCAGTCGTTACATCTGGTGGTAAATAACTTAATTTTTACAAAAATATAATACATTTCCAAATTGAACTTGATTGCTCACATAGAATTTGGCAATAGACTTGAGTATCACTTCGAGACTAATATGGTTACAATTAATGAAATAATTGTCAATATTAATGTTCCTGTGCTCCAACTGGCTGATGAATAACATACATTTATATCCGTTAAAATTTTGTCGTATGGTAACTTCATTTCGTCGGTGTTTTTCATAATTGGGATATTTCGCAATTTTTCAGTTTCATCGTGGAACAGCACATCCGCAGCTCCGTCATACCTACAATTCAAAAAAATTTCGTAGAAAGGCGTACAAAATAGTTCTGAATGACGTTATCACCTTCCAAACATCGAGAACTGATTGGTTAAATCCTTATATTTTTTGCCAAATAATCCATCCAGCTGAATGAAAACGTTCAACGTGTCCTTTTTCCACATATCCGAACTGGATGACCTTATCATTGCCTGGCCAAGTGGGGCCCAACTGAGATGACATGGTTGATTATTTTCATTGCTTTCCTCACAGAGGATTTTAAAATCCACCGATTCTTCAGAAAAATGTGGATAATCGATGTCTTCAGCTAGTAATTTCCGTATCATAAATTGAAAAAAGCCACAATCCACAAGACTGGATTTATTACATTTTTCTATCTCATCAAAAGTCTCAGGTTGTTTTCTTTCTGAAGTACTTACCATTTCTGAACTGATCAATAGAATTACTCGAAACAAAAGCTACATCCCCGATTCCACTGGCTAGACAATGAAGAGCTCCCATATCACCTTCAAAGTCACTTTGGCACTGTTTCCATAAGTTTTCAGATTCATTTTCCGTTATCCCTGGAACACAGGATGGTCCGAAAAAATTCGCCATCTCCGCATTTATATTGCAGCCTGTAACAGTTTAAAAATAAACTTTTTTTCTACGTTTATTACATTGAAGCTCAATAGTGCCTACCGATCAAACGCCTCTTTTGTAGAGCATGAACTGCAGAATTCCAAGCGATACCGCCGTAAACCGGAAAGCAAGCTTTCGCTCCCTGTAAGTCTTTAATGCTCTTAAACTTGGACCCCTTTTTGGTTACTGCCACCGTAGTATACTTGTTTGCATCGGGAACAGTCTCGTAAAATAATGTACTTAGCTTAAAATCCCTGAAATAATTGCCTAAATAAGCTGCATATAATATTTAAGGTATTTTAAACTATTCGTTCACGCCAATTCAACAAGTTGTTCAGTCGATCTCAGTTGGCAGTTGATTTTTATTTCAACAACTTAAAACTTTGCTTTTCAGAAACTTTCTAAGCTTTTAACGTCTCAACAAACACAGTAGTTCTAATATCTTATTTTACTTTAAAAATTCCATTTGAGATCTTGGTTGGGAGAAAATCACATTCTTGAAAACGTTAGATATTTTTATTCTCAGAAAAGTTTCAACTGGATGATAACCTAAAGTCTCTATTAAGGAGAAAATGCAACAACATTATTTGATCAAATTTAATCACTTTGAATTGGTGTTTGATGCCAATTTTGCATGTTCTCGTTCCGCTAACAAGACCAAAGCGCTAAGATTTTAGACTAAACGAGCTACCAATCTGCTGCTTGCAAAATTTTCAAATATTAACAGTGGATTCAGGTTGGTCATATTCCATTTGTTTAAAAAGGTCTAAAAACGTGTGAGATTTTTCGAAACTTTGATTATCAAATTAATATCGCATTTTCCCACATTGGGTAGGTTTAAAATCATTTCAACCTCGGCTAAAAAATGTTCGCTACTAAACATATAAAAATCTGAAATATAGTAAGTTACCTCTTCGCTTGCTGAACCAAGTCAGGTGAAACCATTAGAATATCTGCAGCATTATCACTTAAAGCCATCATGCAGTGGGTTTTATTGTCAGCTTTCAGGCAATCTAGGTCTGGTTCGATCCCGTAAACTGCAGCTGATTCTCTCAACCAAGAGCATTTAGCAGTTTCGATGTTGGACGTGGTACAAATTCGAATTGTTCTTGGTGGATGGCAAGCAGAGAAGCTATTTGCATTCAAAAACCCTTCAAAAATTGCAAAAGATCTGGTAAGAATCTAGCTAGTAATTGGCTCAAAACCGTATAAATAATGTTTCCTTCAGTAAATTAAGCCAGTGGTTTTGAGGTGGGAGAAGGTAATAGAACGTTATAGAAAAATAGCACCACAAATTGATTTTGCCAATTAGGTTGATAAAAAATTCCTATTATTTGCCAGAGTAAAAGAATAAGACAATTCTACGGTTATACAACATACCGAATCTCGAAAACGGTTAAAATTTTGAGAAATTAATAGACTAAAAAAAACATCCCTTAAACTGTCCTGCTAATTAAATATAATACAAAATTCGTAACTTTTTCAAATTTAGTAGGAAAATACGAACTGAACTGCAAAAGATTAAACTTCTCTGTATCTGGAAAGCTTTGTCTTCAGTGCTATTCCTCGCTGGCGTTATAAATGTAACTTATAGAATTAAAGTTTGAATAAATCATTATTTAATTTAAATTCTTGAAAGTCAAGCTCAGTTTGCCATTGGCTCAAAACAGAATTCTTACCGTCGATATATACTAAACTTCCAGTTGATTTTCGTTACTAAATCATCTTGAATTTGACTCTAATTTACTTTTAATTTTTTCGTTGTTCAGGAACTTGACTGAAATTTTTACAAATTGGAAGCACTTGCTTGCCAAATGCTAATAGTCACACTTGTACTTCGATCTAAATAAATGAGAAAACTTGAAAAATAGCCAAACTTATTTAGTTGTAGATTCAGTCGCCAATTTTCAATTCATATTCAACTGAACTTGCAAAACTTCATTTCAGGGCCTTTGCAAATAACCAACTTCATTAATAATGAACCAATTCGAAATAATTATGTTCAAGTTTAATTAGAGTTTTTTGTCATAACTGTGATTATTATATTTATTTCCAGGGCTTTACAAGATTAAACCTATGTGTTCTTTCCCAAGAATTTTGAGCAATTTTTGATAGAAAACAAACACGGAAAGTTACATACAGTACCTAGATTAGGTTTTAAGCTTTCCTGTAAAGATAACTGGCTATCCCTTGCTGTATGACTTATCCACTAATGTATCTTTAATCTTTCAGTTATGTTTTACCTTTAGCTCGATGTAAGTAGGCTTCAATGGATGTTGGAGGATCCAATTTTTCCACATTGTAATAAATGGGTTCAATCAAATTCAGCAAATGGGCCTGCCAGGATGCTGAATCACTGTTAATTAGACTTGAAATGATGTCTTGAATTTTTTGTGCTTTGGCTCTGCAAATATAAACAACAATTTTGAAAAATTGAAACAATTTTGGTGATTTCTTCTGAATACTACTTTAATAATTAATAAGTATATTAATCTTAAATTAATATATAATTCATCTTTAATAGTTCAACTTATCTAATAAATTGGTCGTTGTTTTACTATTTTCGATAATTGTCCTTTCAATTTAGTCGCTGTTATCGTTACAAGTTGCAACGCCGACTTTTCCAGCAAAAAAACTACTTTGTATGAAAACAAACAGAATTGTACAAACCTTCTTGCAGCAATAACAGACCATGGTTTAACCACCCATACACAGGGTGTGCTTGAATTCAGTGGCATGACAGTATTATCTGGACAGAGCAAACTATAATCATTAGGATTGATTCCTTGGTTACCAGAAGTAAACCCAAAATGTGGGTTGACATCATCTAATCGAGCCCAACTTATGTCTCCGGATCCATCGGTCAGACAGAACAATGATCCGCGTCTACCCCAATATTTGTCTTGGATTGAACATCTCCTAGTGTCCCCGCATAAGCTGCAAAGGTTGGGATATTTGTCCTCTAAAAAGTCATCAAATTTTTGTTGGCTAATTTCTCATGTAAATTTGCTGAGTGGATTACTTAATTCATAATCCAAGCCGGGAATGTTCACCCAGGGCCCAGCTTTGCAGGCTGCACCGAAAAAGTTCGATGTTGCTTTGACTCGATTTTCCGTTATGGTTAAGTTCGGGTGGCATTGAGGAGTCACTACAGATGCTTCAAAATACTGAAAATATTTCCATTTGTATTCGTTGATAAACAGAGGTTTACAGGTTTATTTTCACTATGCTGTGGTACTGGTCAAGATCAAGTATAGGAAAATAACACGATATCAAACGTGAGTAAAAATTTCACATAAAGACTTAATTTTTAATAACGTTCAAGAAAAAGAAAGAGCTTTAAAAAAATTTAAAACGGATTTCAAATGAGTCAAATGTATGAAGCATAATACATAAATATTTTCTAGTGACAAATGCAAAAGCTATATTAATGTTCAGAAATTTGGGTTTAAGCTATTATTTATAAATATATTTTTAAATATATATATAAATATATTTTATTATTCTTTAAATCTCCGTTATAAATAAAAAAAATAATAGAATTTCCACCTTAATTATGCAATTGCAAAACGGGAGCTTATTAAATAACGAGCATAAACTATATGCACCACATTAAACGCAACGTGTAAAAGATAATATTATTACCAATCTGTTAATAAAGCAATGTAAGCGTAAACAATATGCACAATATTTTACTTGTTGGGTGACTGAAGTAAAAATGTTGAAATATGTGTTAGTTGCATTTAATAAGGCCAAGGATTAGCATTGAGCCAATATTTAGTTTTAAACATAAATGTCTTTGAGATAAAAGTTCACGTTGAACTCATTTCACTGTTTCAAATATATTACATGGACAACATAATAGTAGTATTTAACGTTAATATTATACATGGTGAGTTCCTGCGATGGTTTACTGGAATAATCACTTCTTGCAATTGAAATTATTATTAAAAAAAAATTATTTTGCTTAATAAGTTTGAAATACACTCAGCAAGTTTATTACTAAATATTGCCTGGAATTTTGAATATTTTTTTACGAATATTTAAACTGAAGGTAAATCTCTGAGAGTGGAAATACACTTTAAAGATTTTGTTGCGGTTATTAAGTACAATTTTACCTGTTTTTTATAAATTTCTCCACTTTTCCTTAAATTATGAATCAAATCTACAAATTAGTATGTAAACTTTTCTCACTAACTCTCAAAATGTAATTTGAGAATACTGACTAAATTCCGGGCCCTAATTCGCAAGAAACTGCATGTTGAACGGATAAAGCTATTAAATCTTCTTTTCTCAATTGTTTAAAATGTTGCAAATTTACTTCAATTTGTCAGTAAAAAAGTATGTCTTAGCTCAATTTTCAATACAACTTTAATAGAAAATATTTCATCAAAAGCTGACGATAAATATTAAGGAAACTTATTAAAAACAGGTTAAAAGAAAATACAGAACATTACAAAATAATACATAGATTCTTTTTGAGAACAGAAAAAATTATGTTTACTAAGGCTAATACCGTTATCAACTATCACTTAAATATTTTTTAAACAATTCTTCAGGTAGCTTTCCGTACATTAAACCTTCCACCATTGTAGCCAATTTTGTATATTGAATTCCTAAAGCCAAAATAATGCAATTCTATTCTATGGTGTTGCTTTGCAAATATTATTAAAATACCCACGAATGTTTTAAAGTGTCGAAAGCCTTAGTCAGGTCCAAGAAACAATATACCTGCCAACATGCTTCTTGCGTTATATAAATTAATTGAATATATATATTATATTATATGTATTATATGATATATTATATTATAATATATCGTTATATATATTATATTATATGGATATTAGTGGGATCGACTTGTTAAATCCTGACCCTTTTTGCTATTCAGAGCATTTTAAATAAATATAAATTTGTATTAGATATAAAATACAGTTTCTATTTATATCATTGTATATATAATTTCATAAATACTGTATGAAATTAATATTAAGTAACTTACATTTGACAAAATTCGTGTCCAATCTGCTTCATAACCATAACCAGGATGGCAGTATTTTTTACCACGAAGATCATGCTTCTGACGAATGTTAGCTGCATTGGCTACTATTGCTACCAGCTCGTACTCGAAATTTTGATCTAATTTTTAAGAAACATTCCGATTTAACACAAAAACCGGATATTTTACGATATTACGGTTACCTGAAGAAAAGCGCAGCTCGTTGGTTAAAAGTACATCAATTTCAGAGTTTGTTGCAGCAACCAAATCTTCGGCGGTAAAGACTCCAAAATCTGCTTTTCCTTTATGGATTCGTCTGAGGCAATCTAATCTATACAGTAATTAGTAGTCGGATGTTATTACAAATACATATATTTCTGATTGGAATTTTGGAAGTAAATATTGGACAAGCCACACTAGTAATTTTACAATTCGGAAAATGGTAGTACATAAATATAATAATTTATGAAAATAAACCAAACATTAATAAAGGGCTAAAGTAGGAGCGAAGATGGAACAAAAACTCATGTGAAATGAGTTAGTTTTTAGGGATTTTGGGCTCTGGCGAGATATAATTTGTTCTTCATATCCACCACCGGATTATCAGCTCAGAGTAAAGCTTAAATTTCCAAAAACAATAAAAATTGTAAAACGTTGCAACCCTTTCATTTTATAGATCAAATATTTTTTACTGTCTATAAGTGAGGAATATTATTTGTTTGAATTATATCAATTCCTTTTTGGACAAGGAAAGGAAAAAATTCTACGCTAAAGTTAGCCAATTGATTCTAAATATTTACAATAAAAAAGGTCCCACAATTATCATGAATCCTATTTAGAAACGGAAAATTTGGTCTAATAGCTTCTTCTGGGAAGTTTCACCAGATTTCAAATTAATTTCCAATAAACTTTGAAGTTTTTGTACATTTTTTTAGTCAACTAAACAAACTAAAAAACAACTATTTTTAAACTCTTTTAAACAACTAACTGACTGAAAATGTACTTATTTTAGAAGTGTTTTATTAGGAGGATTTAGTACAAAATGTTGCGAAAAAGACATATAAGCAAATATAAATAAAAGCAGCAAAAACTGAAACCAAAATCGTGTCTCAGAATAAATTAGCAAGTTTCATGTTTTCATAATTTGTTTAGACTGCCGAAAGATCTCCCGACATCCAATTAAGACGACGAGAATTCTTAATCCCAGATTAGTAGATCATTATTTGATTACAGAAATTATGTGACTAATGAGATAATGTTAAAAATTTGGAACTGAACGACAATTTAGGAGGATTAAATAAATTTCTTGCATATAGAAATACAAAATCCTAGGAGAAGAATGGGTGGACTGCAAAATCCTCTTTTCAAAAATCTTACAACTGTTAGAAAAAATCGAATTTTAATGGAAGTTACTTATATCCCAAAATCTGAACCAGCTATGTGAAATATATTAAAATAGCCTTAAAAAACTAGCAATAAAGCTCAATTTAATGCCACAGAAAGCGTGCTGTAATAACAATGACAAATTGAAGCAAAGTGGGATTTCCAACATATTAGCAAATCCACACCTTTTATATGTAAAAACCCCCCATTTACTTCCTCGTATTTGACTGCTAGCGAGAAAATGCTGACGGATTTATGATTTTTTATGAAAACATTCCGCGAAATTCAAGTGCAAAAAAGCAGGTTAAAAAGCTAACCTATCTGAAGCAACTACGCATTCGACTTGGCTATCCTGTTGATCAAGTCTTGGGCAGTACTTAGCTGAATGTTTGTATTCTTCCTTTCCATCCACAACGCAGATTCGATCTGAAAACGATTTCACATTATTACCGAGAACTATAACATAATAAGCAAGTTAATTAGTCTTTCTTGGTTTCCTTAGGTCAATTTAGTAATGCGACTTTTACACTGCTGTGCGATGTTTATCTTAATCATTTTCTTTGTACGGAGGATCCATTTAAGTGTAAAAGTAAGGACGACTGAAATTTTATTGCAGTATACAGGGTGTCCCGTAAGCTTATGATTAAAAGGGTACTGCGATATTCTTTGGACCAAAAGAAGACGATCTGACCTATCTTATTAACAAACAATGTCTGGCTCCTCTGCTATTGATGGTCAAAGTTCTTTAGAAAATTTATCTTTTTCGAAATATCTGGAGAATGGTACGATGTATTTTAGTGAAACTCGCTGTGAATTTCTTCTGATGTAAGACTCATATTTTGATGAAACAATAGAGTTCAGACAAGTGGTGAGTTCTTGAGTTACAAAAAGGTACAAAAACTACCAGAACTTTTTAGGTGGAGGATGAAATCAACTCATTTTTTTAGGTTGATGCACTAATCATTTATTCACAATTTTGTGCTCTTTGTAAAATCTTGTAGCATTCATAGTTTTTGCGAAAAAAATATATTTCTGGTTTCTTGCCACTTAACAATTTTAGAATTAACTGCAAATATCGTGATACGGGGCATAAAATAATTGTCAATCAATCTCACAAATTCGTCTTTAATGACCTTTTCTAACGAAGAAGTGACTGACATGGTCAAAGTATTAGGGTTTAGCGAAGACCATTTGCGTAAAAGCGTACGCGTTTACGCGACACATATTTACAGTATTACTAAGTGACTAGAAAACAGAAATATTTTTTTACGCAAAAACCATGAATGGTACAAGATTTTAGAAAGAGTACAAAATTGTGAACAAATGCCTAGTGCATCAACCGAAAGAAAATGAGTTGATTTCATCCTCCAACTAAAAAGTTCTGGTAGTTTTGGTACCACGACACTCAAGAATTCACCACTTGTCCAAAACGGCTGAACTCGATTGTTTCATCAAAATATGAGTCTTACATAAGAACAAATTCACAGCGAGTTTCACTAAAATACATCGTACCATTCTCCCAATACTTCGAAAAAGATAAATTTTCTAAAGAAAGAAAGAAAATTTATTTTTTTCTAATTTGACCATCAATAGCAGAGGAGCCAGACATTTTTTGTTAATAAAAGTTAGGCCGGATCGTCTTCTTTTGATCCAAAGAATATCGCAGTACCCTTTTGATCATGAACTTACGGGACACCCTGTATATTGATCAGGCTGCTGATTCATTTGAATCTTTGACAAATGTAATGGAAAATGTTGAAGCAAGTTTTACAAAGCTGCTACAAATTGAAGTTTCGATTTTCTATTTAAAACTTCGACTTCTTAATTCAACTGAAACCTTGTGATTGTTGCGTTTAGGATTATGTTCAACACGATACACATAAAAAATGTAGGAAGCAAATATACGAGTTAAAACCAAGATTCAGAACGCTAGAGTTAGCGTGTTTTTATAGAAATGTTGCAAAATGTGTAGTTTCTAGCAATACCGACAAACCTTAAAAAACTTTCAACATTTCTTTTTAAATCTCGAAAATGTAATAACTGATTTCAATCAAAATTTTTTTTAAAACTTTGCGTACAGGAAAAATACTGTTCAAAAAATGTCAGTTGAGAGTAAAAAACGTAGTCATTTGCAATACCGAGTTAATATGACGATAACCTGATTGCTTCTCGTAATCTACTTGGTACCAACTAGTAATTTTTAGGTAATTTMTCTAAACAAAGCTGTAGAAGTTCCTTCAATTTTTCCGCTCAGCAACTGCAGCTACTCGCCATGTAACTAGGAATATTATTGAGTGAATATTATTTGACGGAGTTAACAGAATATTTTGAGTTCTGTTTTGCTAAAAAATATAATTGAGTTTTAAACCCAACGTTTCTGCTGTAGACCTCAATTTTTTTACTACCTTAGTTTCAAGGTCTAAAATTTACTTTTTCTCTGGCCAATTAAGGCATTATATAATTTAAATATTTTCAGACTCAATTTTTTCCCTCATTCTTTTGTCAAAACTTTCTTGTTTTTGCTTAGCAATTTACTCTCTATCGGCGCAGTTTTCTTAAATAGATGTTGGACGGTTTTATTAGAAATTATTTAATCACATTGTGATATAATAATATAATAATTGTAACCCCCTTGGGGCAACTTTGATCATCATCTTAACATGTACTTTCCTTCTCCTTACTTATCTGATTTTGACTGCTCACTTCTTCATGTTACTGTTAATCTACGTTTGTACACTTTTTGCTATATTTATATTCTGGTTCAATTTTATCATTATTTTTTCCTATTTCCGTAACTTGATGATTAACGATCATCAATGAAAAGGCAACCTGTTTGTTTTTAGAATTTATCTAAACCTATATAAATCTACCCTTGTGAAGAATATTATATTATATGTTAGCTATAATAGTTAACATGAAGAAAATTCAAAATATTCAATTTTTGATGATAAAGCAGAAAATTAGCTTGTTCAAATTTTGTTTTATAATTATATAATTCTAAATATAATTCTGATAGACACTAAATAAAATTATCTTTGCAAGCTCCTTTCCTGGACATTATAGCATCCATTTCTAGTCAGGATCGCCGGTTCATCCACTCTCATAATATTTCCTAAATATCAACATTTCACATATCGCTGATCCCATTTGCATTTCCATATGATTAATGGTAAATTTTAAACAACAAATCAGTCGTAATTATTTATAACTACCTAAACCATTACTTCAGCATGAATTAACCTTGCGTGTGGTTGTAAATAATTAAAACTAATAAAATACAAAACCCGATATGGTCAAAGGAGATCAACCGTAAGAATGTTGAATAATTAGCACGGGCAACGTCGTTTTCAAGTAGTTCCCGTACAATTTACAAATTAGATTCTATTTTGAATGATGAGCACTGGTTAGGAAAACCCAATATTATTATTTGAGGGGTATTATGGAATTATGGAATAGTTCATCTAACTTTTTTTTGGTTAATGTCTTGTATTTATTAGGTTTTGTAAAAACCTGTTTTATTGACCTACATGGAAAAAGTAAGTTTAGCGAATGTTCAGTTCTACCACCAAGTTTCTTTGTTTACTGGCTAAAATACTCAAATTTTCTATTGCTTTTAAACTACTGCAAAATTTATCTCATCCTTTATAAACTCCTATTGTGCTCGAGCATACAGTGTAGGCAATTTGGGTTGAAACAGTTTTAATCGTTTTTTTTTCAATGAATACAATATGAAAAAAAAAGATTTTCTTTTAATTTGAATAAAATACACATTTTCAACGAAAAAAGAGCAAATAATAAAACCAATTTATGATTGGCCTGAAAATTCCTACTTTCATTGCGGCTTTGGGCAAAAGATAAATTGGGCTTCACATTAGCATTTAACTTGATGGATTGCATGACACAGTAACCTTTTTGCTCGATTTTATATTACTTTGAGAAATCTTTGAAACTGAAGAAACGATTAATCATAGTATGGGAACACGTTTTCAACTGGTAGCTTGAAATTGTTTTAAATGCATAAAATGCCTTTCAGAAGATGCAGTACATTTTTTAAATAAAAGAAAACACTTTTCTTATTTTTTAGCAAATTGAAACTATTAACATCTTTCGAAAATACCTGACGCTGGAGTTTCATAGAAATCACTCGGAAGCATTTTTTTGCCAACATGGTCAATCTAGGCCAAAAGTTAGTAATCATCGGCCTTATAATGAATTTTTTATTCAAGTGTGCGCTCTCGAATAAAAATTAGCATCATCTATCTCATCCTCCTATTCAGTGTAGACACTTTGGGTTGAAACAGTTCAAATCGTTGCTTTTTTTCGAAAGAAAACAGCTTTAAGAGTGACAAAAGTTTTTTTCAATTTATCATGGTTTCAAAGAGTAAAGTAGAACAGGGAATGAAACAAATATCAAAAATTTTATTTCCTTTTAATTTGACTAAAGCAGATATTTTCAATGAAAAAACAGTAAATAATAAAATCAGTTTATGTTTTGTATAAAAATTCCTAAATTTATTGCGGCTTTGGGCTTATGAGTAAACATACAGTAAACTTTTTGCTCGATTTTTTATTGCTTTGGAGAAGCGTTCAGAATCAAGAAACTATTAATCATATTCTGGAAACACATTTACAACTTATAGCTTGAAATTGTTTTAAATGCCTAAAATGCCTTTTAGAAGATGCAGTATATTTTGTAAATAAAAAATCACTTCTCTTCTTTTTTTAAGTATGTTGGAAATTGGTCCAGGTGCCTACATAAACTTTTACCATTTATTGCTATTTATTGCTCCTTTTATCTCCAATATATCTGATAAGGCAAAATTGACTCTATTTAAAAAATTGCAAATTGCAATACTGTTTCTACTCAACTTCGCTCTCTCCTTTAAAAGTTCTCATCTTTCAAACTAAAGAGAGCAGCAATTTGAAGTTATCAATATCGTTTGAAAATACTTGACCCTAAAGATGCTATAAAAATCGCAAAAAATCCCGATTTTGACCAGCATTTTTGGACTTAATTTCATAATGATTTTTTTAATCAACTGCGCCCTCTCCGTTACAAACTAGCAGCTTTCAAATTAAAGCAAGTCGCAAATGTATATTTTCAACTTGTTTAAAAGACAGTTGACTCTAAAGGTGCTGCACATTTTATAAAAAGAGCCCAGAGTCCTGACTATCTTTCAACTTGGTAAATGAGGGTCTCCAAATGAGTAAATATCCGTTTCGTATCGGATGTTTTTACTTAACTGAGCTCCCGGCTTTGAAAGTGCGCATCTTTCAAACTAAATAGAATGGCAATTTCAAATTATCACCATCTTTCGAAAATAGTTGACTCTCAAGTTGCTAGAAAGTTCAGAAAAATCGCTGAGAATCCTCATTTTTAGCGGCATAGTAAATTTGGGGTGAAAATTAGGAAAAAACTGTCGGTCTTATATGAACGTTTTCGCGCTCTCTGCTTTCAAATTTAGCAGCTTTAAAACTAAAACAAGTAGCAGATTAAAATGTTTACTTTCTTTAAGACAAATTACTCTAAAATTTGCTGAAAATTTGATAAAAAACGCCCAGAATCCTGATTTTATTTCAGCATAGTAAATGCGGGTCGCAAAATTCATAAATATCAATTTAATTTCGGACGATTTTATTCAATTGCGCTCTCCCTTTAAAAGTTCGAATTTTTATGATTAAAACAAGTAGCAATTTGAAATTTTTACTATCTTTCGACGATACTTGTCAGATAAAAGTTTAACAGTTTTTTAACTACTGAAAAGCGAAAGTATGCATAAAACCAACAGAAGCACTGTAGGAAATCGAAATGATGGATCGGATAAATTTCAAATTTGCACATAAAAATAGAATACTTTCATGCACTTTCCTTACTAACTAATTAAGAAAAAAACAAAAACAATTTTAAAGGGTTGAAACCGGATGTGTATATCATTATTGAAGAATTATTTGGAAAAATGTATTGTCGCCCGAAGCAATTTGTATATTCAAATATCTAGTAGCAGGTGAACATGCGGGGTTTCCCAAGACAACTTTTACCTTGTGGAAGAGTACAAAGGCGCAGATTTCTTATGCAAAAAGTAACTAATTATTCTGGGAATTTACGTTTTTGTCATATGTATCTATAGTAGGCCAACTTATACAAAAATGTATAGTAAATTAGCATGCAACTGAATTAAACTACTTCAATCTGCAGGATTTTAAAATTTGAAAAATCCGCAACTAAAATTTTATTCTAAATGCAATTGAAATATGTTTTAGTTTTAGTTAAAATTAGAAGATTTTAATATACATCTTCTTCATTGGAATACATTTTCTGTTGCAATTTTGTTATATTTCTATACATTTCATATCTGATTAAACATTCACTGGTGAAAAGCAAAATACTAGATATGGATTTATAACTAGTATGTTTTTTAAATCTCAATATAAAAAACTCTCAACAGAATGAGTGGAAATGGTACACTACACTACGGTTGAAAAAATAGCAAACATTCCCATCAAATAACGATTAATTAATTTCGAATTTCGAATAATCCAATGTGAAATTATCAAACTTATCCCAAGCACACACAATAACAATTAAACATTGTTGATTGTTGCCATGTCCGTATAACTTTGTAACAAAATACGATAAGCTCGCAAAAAGAGGGCGTAGAAAAATAAATAATAAAATCCACCAAAACTTACATTTTTCCGCACTAACATTGCCAACCCAGGCACATAATAAAATATAAAACAAACACCGGCAAAACGTTTTGAAGGCAAACATGTTGCCGCCAAAAGTCAGAGAAGGCTTTTGGTTGCGACTCAACCAACTATCCGTATACCAATGCAGATAAGTTTTCATGCCATGCTACCGAATGAATCGTTCGTTTTGATTTGTTGTTGTTTTCTTTTGTGTATATTGAGGAAATTGTCCAGCGGCGGCTCAAAAAATACATATTTCTATCTAGTAGCTGCACTTTGAATGTGAGCTTTATTTTGCATATTTCCTATTTATTCCAATTTTTTTCACAACATTGCTCAGCCCTTAGATCAAATATATCTAAAATAAAAAATCGTAATTAATGTACACGTTTTCTAGGAACAAACAAGCTTGTTCATATATGTATAACGTTTAGTAGTTAATTAAGTTAATCATGCATAAAATGTTAATTATTATTTATTAATGTGGGTTTTCTCTATAGTTACATTACAAGCTCATATAAAGAATAGTGGTTGGTCTGGACTTTAAATATCCTCTTGCGTGCTTTTAACATTAAACGGGTCTTCTTCTAGGCACCAACTTCCAAACGGACTTCAACCAAATTACCTTGTAAACTGCAGAACAAGCTGGTTGTTGGTTGATCTGTCCATTAACCGGCCGAAAAAATTAAGAACTTGTGACCTAATTATCATCAGCATAGTTGTGGGTAAATGTTGGATTTGATAATTAGTATTTTACTGGGTACCGCCTATGAGAAGTAAGATAGCATGTCTAGTCCAAGCGTTTCTGAAGGTCGAGGATATAAGAACGAACTAGTGCGAACTCTCGGATTTGCCAATAGTCTCATTACCGAACTTGGGTAATTCCTCACTAATTGCTACTTAAAATGCTGTCTGTTAGCTTAAGTAATTTTCGGAGAATTGTTTGCTAATTGCAATTTCCGAATATGTTTAATCAGTCGTAAGGCAATGGATGGCTGAATGTAGGTACAAAGTAAACTTTTAAAGAGTTGAACGAAGAGGCTTAAACATCTTGGATTTTGCAACTTATTTAAACATGTATTGCCGTAATTTTACAAGTTTGAAATATGGAAAATTATAGTCTCAATAAAATACATTATAAATTTACTAATCGCACAGCAAAAATGTGCAGTTTCTAATAAGAGTAATTTGCATCTATTGATTATAATGATTTCACTTAAAATTCCCTAATTGTCTATGGAATAAAGTCTCAATAAAATTCATAAGTGCTTCACAAACGAACAAACTAAAACCATTATACAGTGGCTGTTGTTTATTGTTAAAATTGTATTTTGTTATTTTCATTTTTCGTTTTCTGCTCTTTCAGTTTCAAGTCATATTCCTTGGCTCAAATTCTATCACTTTGTTTAATTTTATTGTAGACTTACTATTGATGAATCAGCAAACGCTATTATTCATACTACACACCGAAAGAAACATACCCATGTATAAATAGCGCAACAATTAACAAATTGTTAGTTATATCCAGTTACCTTGCAGATGCAATAAAAACAAACAACTTTTATTATAACAGCATTTATTTAAATTTGAAAGTAGAAAATATTTATTACAAGCGATTGACATAGTTCAAAAATATTTTAACATCTTCATGGTACGATTCCAAGCTTTGTGTTCCGTAGTCCCCGCTCAATAAATGTAGATACAATTTTCCATCTTCAGTTCCAATTAACTGCAAAAAAATTATTCGATAAATTAGCTCCGTATTGATGGTATGTAATGCCTTATTGTTAATTTTTTTTTAATTTCTCACCATAAAAGCCATTTCATCGCTCTTGCCACTATTTGGGACATTTGAAAGCGTGAAACAAGTGATGTTCTCAGGAAATTTAACGGAATATTCAGGATACAAATCGCTCTTCTGGAGGTCCCAGACATGAACGGTATTTTCCAAATCCTTCACATAAAATAGGAAAGGTTTCGTTGTGGACCAACGGATTATTTGTGTACTGCTGCTTTCCATTTGCTCTTTATTTTGCAACACTAGCAAAGGCCTCTGGGTTGATCGGGTGAATAAGGAAATATCTCCATTTGAATAGCCAGCGACAAAGTACAAAGGAGAAAATGGACAGTTTTCCATGCAGGTGGAGCCAATATGGGATTCTAAAAAAAATCGAGATGAATTTTCTAAAATTTATCGGTCAAATCAATGGTTATCAACCTGAAGAGAAAACCTTCTTAACATTGGAGTGGTTGCTTTTAACTAAACAGTGTAATATAAATCCATAATTGGTTGAAACATAAATGTGGTCATCCATTAGAATGCAATCAGAACACACAAAGTCAGACAATTCTGGATACAAAACGGGTAAATTGATCGTATGTGTATTTATCAGCAATACACCATTAATTGACTGTGCTGATTCGGATTCTGAGTAAAGCGTCCATATAATAATTTTTCCTGATTCGTCCAACGAACAAATCTAAAAAATGATCACAGAATAGTACAAAATTTACTGAATGACTGGTATTTTTGTATCATTCTATTAATCCCACTTGCACTATTAAAGATTTGCCAGATGTTAAAAGAAATGGAAGAAATTTCAAAATAAACAGCTGAAGAATCAAAGTTGCGAATTGAATTCTGAAGCAGTTTTGTAGAATTAACAATCGTAGACTTAAATTGAGTGGTTTATATATTCTCATAATTAACTCACATACCTCATCCTCCACGGATTCCCCAGATTTGAAACCTGGGTGTTCGGAAACCGTTTGTACCGAGATAACTTTGGCAAAGTGACTAGAGCCAATAGGAGTAACAAAAGAAGGAGTTTGATTCGATATATCATACAATCTTCGTTTTTCTTCAACATTCCACACTAATATAGCTCTAAAATAAATACATGTTTAACATAGAATCCATAAAACTGTTGACTTGAACTTGAAGAAGCTAACAAAATATCAAATTATCAAAACGTATTTCAACTATCTTTCAAGTACAAAATTGCGCAGTTCCGATTTTGATTTTTAACCAAACAGCATTTAACCCGCATATAAAACCGGTTAGATTTTAATAAACTACATACCCATCATGTTGGCCTGCCAAGACATAATTTTCACAATCCCCTGAGAAAGTTGCACAGCAAACTTCACCAAAAGCCACAAAAACTCTTCTAGGCGCTTCTAGATCGGCTGTATCCCAAATACACACTATTGACCCAATCAAATCCAGTTCCACCTTCGTTCTTCTGTGCACAGACATAATCGGACTGATTTTTCCAGGAACAACCAAAACCTTACTAACTGTGGTGTTTCTGAACATTTCCTGTGAAGTGTTAAATTGCAAGTAGCCCCTACTGTAGGGGATATTGTTTTTGTTTTTCCTCACATTCTCCATGCTGCTCAGCTTTTTTTCTGCCAATATTTGCAACATCAGCTCACTAGAGTTTTTCATAAAATTCGTCAGTCGAACTTGGTTAATTACTGGAGTAGCTTCAGATTGATTTTGTGCTCCAACTCCCAAGTACTCACACTTATAATTCGTCCAAAATCCTTCGGTGTTCTCCTCAAAAGTTGAAAATTTATTTGGCATCTGAGTCCACTTGCTGACTTCGTCAATAACTTCCGTTTGGACTTCTTCAGATATGTCATCTTCCCCAGTTTGTAGTGATGCTTGCACCGAACTTCTATTTCCGTAGTTCTTAATATAAACATCATAAGACACAGCAGGCGAATCAAAGATCGTGAAGTTCATAGCATCCAATTTTATCATGCTGATAAGTTCCTGACCTCTTTTCCTTCTAGCTGCGCTCGCTCTCCGTTGTTCACATTTCTTCTTTGCATCGGCAAAGTTGATGAACTGCAAGGACTTTTGATCTTCGAAACCTTCATCTGATAATGAAGCGGGATTGTTGAGCTCTTTGGAACTATCGTGTTCGAGAATAGCATCTTCTTTCTTAACAGTGTCTTCAATGTATCTCAGTATTTGTCGATGCTTGAAATCGGAAAGCTCAAATGTTCCTGAATCCAGTTTGCGCTCATCGTCTGTACCTGCCGAAGAAAGTCGCTTGGGATCCTTCTGAAGAAATATGGGAGACGTTTCTCGTTTTTCTGATATATCTTCACCACTGCTGCTAATGGAACCACTTTGTCGTGAAATAATGTCTAAGTTGGTGGTGTCTTCACTTGAAGATGCAACATCGAAATCCGACTCGTAAGATTCGAAATCTTCTTCATAGTTTTCCTCCGGAGTTACTGAGTTCGATGCTATTTCTCTATTGTTGGTTAAAGCTTCTTTTATAAGGGGAATATTTTTTTTCGTCTTTGGCGCTTCAGGTCCTACAATGTTTTCATTCACAATACTGCCTTTTCTTAATGTTGCGGTTCGAGGTCTATCTAGCAATGAACTTGTTTCAGACACTGAGTCACTTGCTTGCACTTTCTCAATTGCTTGCCTTAATTCTCTTTTGTTTTCCTTTGGTTTTAATGTTGGTGATTTAATTTCAGATTTGGAAGCCGCTCTAGAAGGACTATTAATTGCGTGTGATCTTCCTAATCGGTTAAAGCTTTCAGTTTTAGCTTTAGTGGATTTTTTCGTACTACTGTCCTCGTCTTCATCCAGAGGTTTTGGTGGCTTTTCTACGGATTTCAGTGCATTGGAAAATAAATTTTTACTTGGATAGTATTCCGATCGCGTAACTCTACTGCTAGAAGTTGATTGTTGTTTTGTTTTGGTCGAAGGCTTAGCTTTGCCAGTCGTGCTCTGTTTAGGTGCTCCGGAAACATTGCGTTTTTCTATAATTTTCTCAATTGTTTTCTTTGGTGGTACACTTGCTACCGCTTTGGCGGATTGGTTAGATTTTTTACTTAAGTCTTTTTCCTCTGCCGGTTTGGATGATGGTTTTTTTTGCGCTTCGCTCTTGGGTTTATTTGTCGTTTCTTTAGTGCTTTTCTTTGCGGTAACTCGCGAAGCAACTGGTTCTTTTGAAGTGGAACTTCGTTTTGAAACATTCTGGAATTGAGTGAATGATTGAATAGATGAATAATAAAGATTAAAAAAAATAAATATTATTGTCACAGAGAAAGTTTAATAAGTTTAAGTTTAAACTTTATTATTTTAAATGCACAGGCATGCATTTCTTATTTTGGAATCTATATTGAAAATGTATTTTTATTAAGATGATGAAAATATGATATTAAATGGTTTAATAACAACTAGCAACCAAACACTAGTGTCTTGTGCCTTTCGTTAAAAGTTATTATTATTTCACCTTATTTGTTCCTCGGCTTAAAATTGATAAGATAAGATAATAAGGCAAATTTTTGAAAATTTATTATAAATAAATTACTTTTTGTAATTATTCTATTGTAATTTATTATAAAAAAACTTTGACTGAATCTAAAATGTTAAATATTAATATGTTCGACCAATCAACAATTGCAAATAGTTACATTAATAGCACTGAAATAGGAATAACCATATAAAAGCGTTAGTACACTTCGAACACAAATTGATCAATAATTTTAATTTCAAACTTTCGACTAAACGAAACAATTACCATGAAAAGTTCAGGCAACTATTCAGATTAACAACGGAATAAAGCAGAAAATTTTGGATTCGTTTTTAACTATCTAATGATCTTATTAAACTTTTTTTTGAGAAAAACGCCCCATTCGAAACGTATACAATAAAAAAAAATAATAAGTATAGAGTATAAAATATTCAATAGAATAAAATTGATATTTAACATGGAAAATTTAAGAAATTTTATGGTGAAATTCTCGTATTTTTCTAAAAAGAATGTTATCTGATGGTGGTTTTACAGCTACAATTTCATTTCATTTGGAAGTAAAGTATCGTTTGAAAAATTCGTTGATTAAGGAGGTTTAAATTTAATTATTCCTAAGTTTATCAAAAACATCTTATAATTAGGTCATTTAAATCTCTTTTCTCCAGCTTTTCGAATGTCGTTACAGATCTGAGTTTAATATATTTTAAACCCAAAGTGTGGTATAAATAAAGTAAACAGAGGAAGTAGGAAAGTATTTAAAAATAAAGAATGATAACGAGTTTACTTAATTCAATGCAAGAAGTTATATAAGGTTGTGAAGGTTAAGACGAACGATTAAAGGAATTGAATTCGTTTGAACGATTTCAGTTTTTCCAACAGTTGTGTTTTCAGGAATCGAAATTTGATCAAATCTCGCTTGAAAATTCAGAAAGCGGCAAAATCAAAATGGTATTCGAAACTGGAAATTCTACTTTTTCTTTAATGTATTAAGAATAATTGATATTGATTCTACACTGTAGATAAAGGGGGAAATTTCAGGAGCAGCAAACGTATTTGAATATTTGCGAGAAAACACGCTATTCATGGTTGGATGATCGATTTTAAACAAAACAACCCCCATTAAATAAGTACATTTCGATTTGCTTCCCACTGTAATTTATTGAAAATCAACGTTAATTTTAACTAAAAATGGTGATCAAACTCTGTACAATAATCTGGTTGGTGTAAGTGAAGCAAGTTTTCCTACGTGCAATAATTGGATCTGTACCAGAAAAACATTACAATAAAAAAATGTACCAATGAAATATTGAGCTTTTTAGCTAAAATGGCTTACTAAAGTAACAATTGTCGAATTATTGAATCATTAAAAGCTGGATTAGTGTAATTGTAAAATGTTGGTGTGTTTATTACAATTACAAACACACTGAAAACATACCTACCTTAACAGTAGACATGCAACACGAAAAATATCGAAACTCAGAAGCAGAATAAGGAACCTTTTCGAGAATATAATCTTGACAGAATATGTTGTGTCATTCTCCTGTGCTAGAAAACTAGACTGATTTAAATAATCGATATTTCGAAAGAAACTTTTGCGTGTCCCGCTGAATACAACTATTACAGGTTTTATTGGAAAGCCAGCTGCGCGATTCACATACCGGAAAATTATGCAGGTGGAACAAATGACTCGAACGGCGAATGCAAGAAACACTGTTTTACACTACTACCCGCTCACTTGTTTTTATTCAAAAGCTTTACAGCTTTTATCCATGGCGTTTTGTTTCAACTTTTTAGACAAATTGTCTATCGAACCAACAAACAGTCCGAAAGTGAAATCACTGCAACGCCTCAAACTTTTCACTAAATCGCTCCTAAAACCTCCACCTGAACTAACACATTTCCTGAATTCCCATCGGTCCACCCCATCAGAGTAGTAGGCAAAAAAAACTCATAGAAAATTGTTACAACTATGTATATTGAACAATACCTTTACAAAACTATGCTGATGTTACCTTTCATAAACAAGTCCGCAGGTCGACTTCAACTACATTAATGAAGCTAACTTTGATGGCCAGTCTGTAGAAGATGTCGTCTTAGAGAACTCTTGTCAGTGAAGGTTTTATTGCAATCGCTACATTGGAACACTTTCCCCGTATGAGTGACCAAATGTCTGCTCAATCCGCTGGCATGGCAGAATACTTTCGGACACAAACTGCAATAGTGAAGCTGGATGACATTGGGCGAGTTTTCATGTGTTCGAACATGAATTTTCAGCTGCTCTTTCTGGTTGAAGCCCTTGGGGCAACGTGGGCAAGAGTAGGGCCGTTGTCCAGTATGGGTCATTAAATGACGGAGTAAAATCTCCTTTTGTGCAAAACTTCTCGAGCAAATCTCGCATTGAAATGGACGTTCGCCCGTGTGAATTCGTTCGTGTCGTGTTAGAGCGGAGCGAGTTGGGAACCATTTTTCGCATATTCCACAACTAAATCCTGAAACAAAGGTTTTGTGAACCGAATTGCGGTTGATTTTTTAAAAAATTATTTGAAAATAAATGGACCAAAAAATTACCAAATACTTTTAAATATGACAAAAAAAGTATACTCAACCTATTTTCACAAATCGCGCTATAAAAATAACAAAAATCGATAAGTGTATATGATAGACAATGCAAAAGCAATCGATTTTGCGGCAAAATCCCATCGTTCGGGGTGAATTCAGATGATTTTTTTCCTTAATAAAAACCAAATAATTTGCCATGGGCTTACTAATAATAAAGCACATCAAAAAAATACCTCATTTGGGTTTTTATTTTTAGTATTCTTTTTTGTGCAAGTCTCTTTTATAGTTATCAAATTCCAAGAAAAAAATACAATTCATAAAATCCTTACCTTGTTTTTCAAATTTATTCAGCGAAAATGTATACTACTATCGCTACTAGGAACGTAACTGACGGGAATATGAGGATTGGGTACTTTTTTACACGGTGATGTGATGATACACGGTTTCGTTAATGATCTTAACGAAAATTTGGACCAATAACGGTCTGTCCCAGTTCGCCCCCACAGTCCGTCTTCACCCCGAATGACCGGAACTCAACAAAAATCTTTTGAAATAAATTGAAAATATGTGTTAGTGTTATAACTAATAAACGCGTTGCTTTCTCCTTCTTGTACCATTGCTTCTACTTAAAAATCTATTAAATCATTGTTTACTAACCTCTCTTCTGCATATGCACAGAAGCATGTCTTCTCAGCTGAATCCGTCTTGCAAATGATTTAGGGCATTCTGGACATTGGAATACTTTCAACTCGCCATCCTCATTTACCTCAGATTTGTCTGAAAAACAAACCATCCATTTTTAATTGAAGAAACTTACCAAAATGAAAATAATACCTTCCGATACTGAAGGCACGGCATCCAGCTTGCGAGTAGCTTCTTCTTCTTCGGTCATAATTTCCATCACAATTACGTGCCCATCCTCTGTGGTCACTTCTACTTGAGCTGATGCGCCCTCAGAAGGATTCACTTTTAACTGGAGCTGTCCTCCTACATTTATTCCTAGTAAACGCATGAAATAAGCCCGTTGTAAACTTGTAAAAAGCGCCTCCGTTACCTGGCTGATTGGCCAGCGTTGCTTTAACAGCATCTGCAATGGCACCCATATTTGCATTATTCATATTTCCGTCGTCTTCTTCTATGACAAATATATTTTCAATATTTTCTTCTTCTTCGGGTTCACTTTTTAGTTCCACATTGGTCTTCAGTGTACAAGCTTCTTTGTTTTCCTGATCCACTTCAATGGGCAGAGTAATGTTGCTCGGTGTATTTTCTGATTCCTCCGGTCCTTGGATGTATGATACTTTTGTAACACCTTGCAAAAATAGAATAGGACAATACAACTTTTTGTGCGTTACTAGTGTAATCATTATTTCGTGACTAAAGTGACACTTTCGATAGGCTACTTTTGATTATTTTTAGTATCTTACCAACAATATCTTCTTCTGTGCATGGTTCAGCACTGTCTGAGTCACTCTTGAGATGATCATCGACATCCATTCGTCCATCATTGTAGTCTTCAGATTGATTTTCATTGCCATCATCGGTCAACAAATCGCCCATTTCATATTTTAGTTCTTTTAGATGAAGGCGCAATTTCATGTCGGATTGTTCGCATTTTTTTCTGAAGTTGTACGATTTTTCCAACTGAAATTTACATGGGTGGCAAATCTTATCCGGAAGTCCATCATCTTCAAACACCTGAAAGAATAAAACGGATTTTGAAATTGAGATTTTGAAAATATTTACCTACCGACATTTGAATATTGTTTAAAATTCGCGCTAAAAAAATGAAAAATAATTAGTATTTACATCATCCAATTGAAGAAATAATTCTTCAGTCAATTTATATGAAAATCATCGTGAATTATGGGATTGCGGTTATAAATATTAGCACTTACGAAATAAAAAATACGACGCATGGCTAAAAATCGCAACAGAGATGAATAGCGACATAGAATCGATAAAAGCACAAATGAGTTCATTGTTGTCTTCAGTTCAAAGGGAAAGAGCCAAAACTAAAACTACAACAAGAACTGGACAAGGTATTTTTATATATTACATTCACATAAACTTAAATTAAAGAACTTGATACATTTTGATTGAGATTTTAAAATTGTCCAGTATCTTCAATTGCCAGGTCGCATAGCAAATTACTTCCACTGTATAAGCTTCTGCTCTGAAATATACGGGTCGTCCAATAACGTATATTCCCTCTCTTTTTCTTTTTAGATAAATCACACACAATTATGAAAGCTGCTGCTGCAATTTTAGCATCATCCATGATGAACAACACATTTATTTTGCCGCGCAAGGTGGAACCTTGGCAAATGCAAACATTTTTAATTATTGTTGCAGCAATGTAGACGCAAGGCGCAAATTGTGTGTGAACGTTCACGAATGTTTGGCGCAGTATTGCGCTGCAGTCTGAACGCACCTTTAGAGATACGAAGTCGGTTAAATTAGGAAAAAGTTGCACAATTAAAGCGGCCAGATACATGGTATTTTTCAGTCAAATTATTGTTTTAATTTTTGAGATAGGTATTCAGAAGTTATTTTTCGGATTTTAGTTCCTTTTCATTTTTGAAGTTATAAAATCAAAAAATACTTTCTCATGGCTCCTTGTCGAGCTCTACAAAATCATAGTCATAGTCATAGACAGAACTTCCCATAAAAAAATAATACTTTGAACTCAACAGCCTATAAAATTGAATTCCATTAATACATAAGAATTTGTATTCATTGGAAATATTTACCATGCTGTTACATGTCAAAATTATAACTCTAGCAGCTCAATTTCGTGATAAAATTAACCTAATCCGCTGAATTACTAATCAAACACCCGAGAGCTTGCTGAATTAATTAATTATTACTGATTGGAGAATATTCGATTAAATAAAAAAAGACAATCAATCAACGAGCAAAAAATATTTCCTAAAATCAAGCGTTAACTTTTGTAACATAATATATTAGTAAAACTCCAATTAAGATAAGTTTTAAATTGTAATAAGTCAATCAATCAAAATAATTAAATCAGGTCCTTATTATATTATATTAAACGGTTATTTTTCTGGGACCGGTTACAACGTTCCAGTCACTTTGGTATTAGGATTCAACATTTCAGTTCCAGAAGTAACATGTTACTTTTTAAATTTTTCGTTAAAAATTCGCATTTATGATGACGGTAGTGATGATAAATAATGATTTAGTTTCTTTGAAACCATCAACAACTTTTGTTTTTTATATGTACCGAACAAAAGTACATACCGTATTAGGTAGGTAGCATTTAAGAGCGAATTCGACGATGTTTTTGATATGATTTAAAGTAACTTCAAAATGATAAGGAACGAAAAAAACGACTTTTACTCGATATCTCAAAACTTAAAAGACATACTTGTTTTTTGAAAACGCCATGTATATAGCCCCTTAATTTTGCAACTTTTTCCTAACTTAGCCGACTTCGTATCTCTTACGGTTTCGGAGATCCCCATGCAATTAATACATCCTTATCTTGGACCCTGTATATAGATACATACAGTTCATATCACTTTGAAATAGTAAAAGCAAATTAAAAAAACTCACCTCAAGAGAAACACAGGCCAGTATTCTTAAAGTGAGGGGCACAGTTTCTTCATTGGTAAATATTGATATCAGGTCGTCTTCCTTTTCCATACATAACCTACAAACATCATCTAAATCTACAATTTCCTCATCTACATTCTCTCCCAATTTCTTTCTACTGTATGTTTTCATGTTTTAATATTTTTGGAGGTTTGTTGATAAATCAGATTTCTTTTGTCAGCAACTGAACGCCAGCTGCATCGGATACTTCACGTCACGTAAATGTCAGAAATAGAGGGAACCTATTTTCGGAATACAGAAATCAGGTTTACCATCTGAGGAAGTGTGAGCAGAATTGAGCCATGAATGTGTTTAGAAAATTAATTGTGCGTACAACAGGGTGATTTCAAATTGAAAAATTACCGCATTTACAAAGTTCTTTGGAAAATTGTGAAGTTTTAGGCAAATATACGATAAATAGTGTTTCATATAATATTTTTCGGAAAAAATTAAGTACAACCTTTTATTATATTAATACGATATAGGATCAAAAAAATTAAATTAAAGAAATTATGGTGCTATTGGCAGCGTTGCATTGAAAAAGATGCACATTTGTTCTCTCTTTTGGATTCATCAAAAGAAAAGTCCATGGCATATTCACAGATTGTCATATTTTGTCTGTTTGGCGTTTGGCCCATTCCATAAATATAAACAAATCGAAATTATCTCAGAAATCGTTTTGTTGTGAATTTAACTGATTTTCGCTGAAAATCTGATAAGAAATGGGCTCAGAACATTCAAGCCATTTGGCTGCTAATTCGGGGACGCCTAAACGAAATCAACTGAAATCGGTTATGAGACGACAACATACTATAGCAAATCCTGGCTCAAGTGCTCAAGAACATCCTGTTCCCACTGAAGGGGCCGAAAATGGAAGATGCATTTCGCCAGGCCCGAGTGTCTGTAGTGATACGGATCTTCCATATATCAGCTATACAGTGAACAGACCTATAGGGGGTAAGCTGGGCAACTTTAAAACGAACATCTGTTACTAAGCCCTAAGGACCATATAATCAAGTGGTAATTGCAGATTCTCCTAAATTGGCCAATAAACAGCTAATAAAAAGTAAATCTACAACTGCGCGTAAGTCACAAGTGACCAAGCAGCCCCGGAATAAAAATGCGCGGAATATTGTGGTTGTTAGAGGGTTGGAGAATAATGTGAATAATGTGGATAAAGATCCTGATGTTCAGAAACTGCAAAGTATACCGATGTTTTTGCCAGTAATGAGGGCAACGTTAAGGTAAAGTTGCTAGATGAACAACCTTTTAAAAGCGTCTAGTGTAATACATGTGTGATTAATGTGCAATAAGTGAGCTGCTTATTGTTACATTTGAAGGAGGTCCTTTGAAGGTTCTTCAAATAATCAGATTTATTATTTACACGTCTAGTGAGCTCGACTAGTCTTTATCTCAGTCTCCAGTATACACGCAAGATTAAACACATTTAAGGAAGAACAAAATCGCTGTGTTCCTCTGAATAGGCTGGATCGTTCTATGAGCAAAGATGATTAAAATTTATTAGATCAGAAACTTTTAGTTTACAGACACAAACATTTTCCATGCCCCCAGTTTATTGGAACATTAATTCGTTTTAATGATAACATATATGGGTTCTCATGAGAACAAATATAAGAGAATAAGAGTAAAGAAGCATTTCTTTAATAACATTTCAATAAGCCTAGTTCAAAAATAGTTTCTTACTTTAATCCTGAATATGAAACTTTTGTAAGAATCAATTGCTTGAAAAGACGCATTTTTTGCAACTTTCACATCAATTCATTGAAATTCATGAAACATTCAATCTAAACGGAATATAAATGGCAATGTGAAAAATTAATGTAATGGTGAGAAAATACAGTACGAAAAATATTAATAATTTTTCTTATTGCAAAACCCACAATTAAATTGATTTCCACAAAATTTTGTTACGATTGAATTTTAAATTTAACTCAATTTTTTTGTGATGTTTATTTTTAAATTCTGTTCTTAAAAAACGTCCTTCTCTCAGAGACAATAAAATGGAAGATGCAAAATCAACTAATAACTTACTGAGCTCAAACGTAAAGCAAGAACAAATTTATGTTTTCGGTAATTATTTTCTACTTAAGAGATTGATGGAATGGCGAATGATTAGTTATGTACTAGTGGATAAAATCTTTCAGTTTACCTGCAGCCAGAGATCCAGAAGTGTTAGAAAGACTTGATCCAACTCCTTTACGCAATCTATGCTTACGATATCAACATCATCTTACAGCAGCGGCCAATTTGGTCGCCACTGAACAGAATCAATTAACCCAAAGAGTTCGGGAGGTGAGTATTTAAAACAATTGTTCAAAATTAGTGTTTGTTACGCGTAAAAATAAAATTGTCTGGTCCGTGAAGATATAGAACAAGAAACTCAAAAACGATATTATTCGCGTGATTGCATTAGATTATAGCTACCTTTTTTAACTTTCCGCTTACGTTTTATACAAAAGCATTTGTTCGGTCAAAAATGATCCAGTCCCAATCGAGTTTTTCTGGAGCTCATACTACTTATATCTTTAGATGTTTAACTAGTTTTTTTTGGAAAATACTTGTGTACATACCAGTAAAAAATCATGTTGTTATCGTTAGGTGGATTCCGACATAGGAAAGATGGTGATTCTTGCAACCGATCGACAGAAAAAATATGCAAAATATGCGGACAAATTGGGGAAAGTGCAGGAATTGTCTCATCAGTTAAATCGATGCCATATGCTGCTCAATCAGACATTAGAAAGTATGGAAACTTTGAATAATTATCTGAGCATTGAAGACCGACTTGAGCCGTTTGTGTGGACAACTGGATGAGATTCGGCTGAATAGGTCGGCATTGATCTGTTATTTAGTCTGAATTTACTAGCGGCGAAGACTACAGGGTTTGCGGCCGAAAACTTCAGTTTTATTTAAAAATAATCACCTTTTAATTGTTCAGTTGTTCTTCTGGGTTCGTCGTTTCTTTAATTAGGAAAGACACAATTTTTTATATTTGAAAGGTGTTTTTTTTGTGAAAAGTTTAGCTATCGGACAAATACAGAAAATTAGTAGCTAGTTTAATCAACCGATTTTCGTAAACTGCTAATTAAAATGAGTGGAAAGTTTCGTTGTCGTGGCCTGTAATTTTTTTTTTACAATAGACTTTCTGTGATATGAGTTTGATGACAAAGTTGTGGTTTTGTTGTGATCAGCGTTTGAAGTTAATTCGCTTGAATACCTTTAGAACCTAAATATTAACGTGTTAAATTTTTATTTTTATGTAATGTGTAATTTTTACTAGAATGTATGAATATACGTGTATATAACATAGAGGGTGGATAATTTAATCGAGAGACATTCATTAGCAGGGAGGAGGATGATTTTTGTAAACATTTCATGACAATGTTTTAATGTATTTACCGAGATTTTGCAAGAAACATACAAATGCAGCCCTTCAGAAGAAGCCGAAACCTCCCTCAACATGTTTTTTCTAAATGCGACTACATTCGAAAGCAGGTGGAGAGTGGAATCCATGGACTGATTTTAGTTCTAAGTACGCTTGAGGGATGCATAAAATCCAAACGTAACTTTTTTCCGTAATTTAAACGTAATTTATTTCCAACTTGACAAATTTTTGGGTATTTGGTAATTCACTCGCTTAGCTGCTTTGTCACTAGATAGTCTAAGTACCTATAAAATTTAGATAATTTTACAGAAAATAGTGTAGATATTCGAACTGAGGTAGTTAACAATTAACTATGATAAGCCCTAATGCCTTCATAATACATTTGAATGTTTTAGCAAGTTGTATAGTTCTAGAAGGGAATACGGTGCATGTTTAGTTACCAGCGTTTTGCCAAGTTGAAAGCATATTTACATAACTGTTTTATTGGCACCAAATTAATCTAAGTTTGGAAGGGTGATTAACCAAAGCCGCAATAGCGCCTGAACATCCTAAAAACGTGTGAACTGCCTAGGCTCTTCTACCGCACAACAGTGGCAAATGTAAACATGGGCACGCTCAAAAAGATCGACCGGCAAACGCGCCAGGCGATTAGAGCGTTGCTGACTCTCCCACAGTATGCCAGCATACCCATGTTTCATGCCGCCGTTAGCGATGGAGGCCTGGACGTCTCGTCCCTAAGATGGCAAGACCCGCTTATGCGATTTAAAAGGCTGTGCAACATCAAGATGCCAGGGGTGGGCGGAACAACAGCGGCGAATACTTATATTGCCGCTGAGCTCATCTGCCAGTGTAGCAGAGCACTAGCGGAAGGCCCTATATGGATTGGTCGATGCTCCGGCTTAAGGGACGCCCACCATGGACCACAAGCCTATGACTGGGTGCGACTTCCAAATAAATTCTAAAGCGGTAGGGATTATCTCAGAAGTATACGCCTAAGATTTAATGCCGTACCCACCCGTTCCCGAAAGGCACATAGACGGGAAGGAATGGACCGCACCTGCCGCGGAGGCTGTCATAGTCCAGGATCCACCAATCATGTGCTGCAGAAATGCCCAAGAACACATGCAGGTCGCATAAAGCGACACGACGCAGTCCTTAAATGTATACAAAGAGGGCTGCGCAATAAGGGGTTTCAAGAGCTAAGGGAGTCCCGCTGCAGCATCAACGGGCCCATCCAGAAGCCGAACCTAATAGCGATCCAAAACAACACGGCACATGTCATCGATGCCCAAGTCATCACCGACGCCACCAACCTAGACCAAGCCCACCGAACGAAGACAGCAAAGTACTGCACAGAAGCCATGAAGGAGTTCGTTGGGGTAACATACAAGACCCAAAAGACTGTAATTGGACAATATTCAAGTTGTGTGTGAACAAGATCGCACTTGCGAAGCAGAAAATACTTTGTGTTGGTTGTCCCGTAACTTTCTTCCGCACCACGCTATGAATGGCTCTAACTGGCTATGTTTATATAAACACGCACGCTTATCTCTTAGCCGTTTATGGCATCGGTTTCGTTGGTGACAGTCTCTTAACATTTTTTATACGCCTTTCAACATGGAGAGCCAAAAGAAGCATTTACGTCATGTTATGCTTCATCGCTCTACAAAAGGCAATAGTGCAAAGGAATCTGGGGACAAGATTTGCACCGTTTACGGGAGTGGTGCCACGACTATTAGGACCATACTAAGTATGAATTCCTCACCTATTGACTGAGATTGAGACCATTTGCTTCTTCAGCGAAGAAATTCTTTATTAAAGAGTCTTGTCACTAGAGACGAGACCTGGATTTTGTATCAAAACGTGCGTCCTTGGTCTAAAGAAAATATATCTTCCACTGTTGCGAATCCTGGGGTTCATCCGAAGAAGTTTATTCTCGTCATTTGGTAGGACTGGAAGGGTGTAGTGTACTACGAGCTCCGTCTGCAAGGTGATACGATCAATGCTGACAGATACTGCAGTTAAATGGATCAACTAAAAGCCGCCATAGCAGAAAATGGATCAGAATTGGCGCACCGACGAGGTGTATTCTATCACGGCAACGCAAGACCTCATATTGCGTTGGCCGCAAGGCAAAAATTATTACAGTATGATTGGGACGTTCTACCTCACCCTCCGTACTCCCCAGACCTGATTATTACTTGTTCCGCTTTAAACAAAAAATTATCTTCGTGGAAAATCTTTCAAATCCATAAGCGAAATAAAGACGCACCTTGAATATTTTGAAAGTAAGCCATGATGATGCTTCCTGAGAGGTGAAAGAAGGCTATAGAGCAGAACAGTTCTTATATAACATAATCAATCAGCCTTAAACAACAAATATCGTGTATTCGAGCCACATCAAGAAAGGGAAGAAACTTATGGGAGACCCAAAGTATTTAAGCTCACTGTACTTTTATTATTATTGCTGATTGATTATAACGGTTTTTATTTGACTTAAACGTTTTAATGTAATAATTACATTTATTGAATATGTTAACATATGGGAAGATGTTGAATAAGTTGAAAAATTTGGTGAAAATATCAGTTTTATCACCGCTCTAAAATTCGAGAAATTTGGAGTCAAAGTAAAAAAGCTACAGTGTATATTACATTACTGATATATTAATGCTTTGTAATTGTTAATAAAATATTTGTGATAATAACGCTTCATATATTTATTTGTTTAATTAATAGTCTCCCAATAGAAAAAGGTATTCTCAATAAGTGTTTACTAAAAATTCTTCTCAAAAACCTGAGAGTTGCAAAATTCGTTTTTGTTGCCCCGTTTGATGGAAGTAAAAAGGTTTTCGTTCGCATTTATAATCGTTATATTTAGTAAAGTGTTATTTGTGATATTTACAAGTTCTTTATCGACTTTTTCGTTAAGTAAATACTCGCATTCTTGTTTTCAATTTGCGTTTTAAGCCTTTAATTGATGTACGTGAGCATAATTAATTGAATTACACATGTAGACCTGGGTTTGAAAGGAATTATCTGTTTATGGTATTTATTTGTTTAATTTATTTTAACTTTATGCAATTTTAAATTTCTAATAGTTCATTGACATACTCTTTTTTCAGTTCTCTTCGAATGAAAATTGAGAAGGAAAGCAGAGCTCTCTAAAGTAGGGTGTGAGTTGTGTGTGTTAAATACTAAATTAAAAAACCGCAATTGATAAAATATCTACTCAACAGATAAATTAACTGTAGCAGATAAACTAAGGAACTTTATTCAACAAACCTCAAATTAGGTTCGCAAAATATACTAATATTTTTGTGGATTTAAATTGAAAAAGCTTTAATATTTTTTTTCCTTTCGCACTTTTTGTAAAATTTTATTTATATTATATTATCCTTTTCAGAGTATGTTTTACTTTATTTTTTTGTTACATTCACTAAACAAAGTTTTATGTTAATTCAATCGCCGGTTATTATACATTTTACTTATAATAGCTGATGGGTGTTACGCAGGCGTTTAGTTTTTTCAATTTTTTTGGAAAGGGGTTTTAGTACCAATAACTTAAGATACGAGCACTGTCCTCTTATATCATATTTCGAAAAACAAATACACTTTAGAGGAGATTGTGAAAAACGTTCTCATTTAGATAAATTTATTTTAGTGAAACGAATTTCTTCTTGATAACGTAAACTTCGCAGATAACTTAAACGGATTTGTGATAAAATACAGTGAATACAGTGATCTTTAAGGTCTTTTCCATAAAGGTTTTTAGTTAGTTTTTTTTTTACTAACTCTAACTACTCTACAAATTAAAGGAAATCTTGAAAAACATTTATTAATTGATAAAAAGTCAGTTGTCATTTTTGAAATTTTAATTTGTTTGTTAATAAGTGTTGTTAAACATTGAACAGTAAAACTGGAAAAAAATGTTGTAGGGCAAAATTCAGTTTGTTGTCCCTTTCATAATCTAAGACTTATTCAAATATTCCGGGCGGTTTTCGTATTGTTATGCGAAATTCGTTTAATCTTTTTACGGTAAAATTATTTAATTTTAGTAAATTACTAGCACTACAACTTCCATGCGTCAACTCGATCAACCGATAAAAAATCCACCCCATAAACAAAATGACCTTTTGTTCTCTTTTTGAGGAAAAAAATATTTAGATTTTAAATGTTTATAACAATTATTGTTTAAACCACTGCGGATACTACCAAAGCCTACGGTATTTTGCAATATTCCAACGTTGCCATTAAATTTATCTAAAAATTTTCCCTCCTAACCAGCAAACTCCCGTTAACTAAATTTTACACTGATGATCGGTTTTGTTTTAGCTAATTGAAGCAAAAAAATGTCCTGTAAACTAAGCAATTGCCTATAAATCGTGAAAATCTTGATGTAAATAGTTATGCACATTTCCAACATTCAGAAGTACAACGTCTGCTGCTAGATGTCTCTACTCAGCTGGGTAGAACGTCATTTAACTGCGGTCTGACGTTTCAAAAACGAACTACTTGTTGTATGTGCAGGATTTTTCTCAAATCTCAATCTATCTTGACAACTGTTAATTTTGTCACGTTAAAAGTTTGTCTTTTGCGTGCGCGAAGGGTGTGTGCTCGCTAAAAACACACCGTATAGTTTTATGTGCTACCTGGACTACCTGTTAACACTTTAACTAATTTATTTTCACGGTAAGCAGTCAATTTACAGTTGTTTTTTGTTGGGGAAGGCGGATTGAGCGCCATTATCCCAAACAAGTACCGGCAGCAGGTTTCACGGCTTTCTTCATTTAGTACATACAGAAAACGGTCGTTTTATTAACTGGGGAATGGCATCAAGCGGTAAAATTCACAAGAAAATATCAGAGTTTTTTTTCAATTCCCAGGCAAAAATGATATTTACTTATTAGCCAAAAGAGTCAAAGAA